AGTGCTGAAGTCTCCAGCTATAATTGTGGATTTATCTGTTTCTCTTTTCAGTTTTATCAGTTTTCACATAGGTTTGGGGATCTGAATTTTGCATATCCTAAGAGGGAGACTTAAAGCTGGAATTATCTGATTTAAGTTATCATATCTATATTTTTAGGAGTTTGTTTACTCCTGGACAGAATTAAAATGGTTGTATAAATAGGGTTAGTTATTAATTCAGTAAGTATTTTATTTATTTTTAGTCTTTATTTTTAATGGTAAAATATACACAACATAAATTTTATCATCTTGACCATTTTTAAGTATATAGTTCAGTGGCATGAAGTACATTGACATTGTTATGCATCTATTTCTAGAATTCTTTTCATCTTGCAAAACTGAAACTCTATACGCATTAAACAACTCCTCATTCCTTCCTCCCCCAGCCTCTAGCAACCACCATTCTACTTCCTGTCTTTATGAATTTTGACTACTTAAGTACTTCATATAGTATTTATCTGTTTGTGTCTGGCTTATTTCACTCAACATAAAGTCCAAAAGGTTATCCATGTTGTAGCATGTGTCAAAATTTCCTTCCTTTTTAAGGCTGAATAAATATTCCATTGTATGTATATACCACATTTTGTTTATTCACTCATCCATTGATGGACACTTGGGTTTCTTCCACCATTGTTTCTTGAGCACCTCTTATACATCAGTCACTTTTCATTAAACACATACTTACCGACTGCCTTTATGAACCCGATCCTGTTATAGGCGTGGGGAATGCTGCAGCAGTAAACATACCAGACAGAGTTGCTGCCTTCAAGAAGCTCATATTCTAGTGGGGATTGAGGGTGGGAAGATGGACAATACACAAAGAAACATACTTCTTGATTCTAAATTGCTTTTTTTTTTCACATTTTAGTGTTTCTAAAATTGGGGTGTACCTTACAATTGACACCTTAGAATTATATTTGTCAGTGTTTCTTTTTTAGTGACACCTAAAATAATGGTGTATCTAATCATAGAGTTGATGAACCACTAGTTAATAAGTCAGTTGTTGACAAGTGCTATAAAAAAAATAAACCAGAACAAAGGGGATAGAGCATTACATGGGATACTCACAAATAAGGTGACATTTGAATAGAGCACATGTTCAGATGAGATGATATTTTTTTATAGCGGGACTTCCTCCCTGAAGGATGCAGTGTGTTGGTGGTTCACATTCTGGCACAAACTCCAGACCTCACTGTGGACTAGTAGCAGCTTGTGGGCTCGTTACTTTCAGTAGCACTAGTATACAGGGTAGAATCCTGGCAGGTGTAGGTAGAGATGGAGGTTTGGGAGCATTTTGCAAAATGGGCTCAGATCTTGTAGACATGGTAAGGGCAAAGTGACACAATTTGCCATCTTAGTGACTGGCAACAGTTCTTCCAGTTGCTCAGAACAAAAACTTTGGCATCAGCCTTGACATCTCCACTTGCTTGTATTCTTTTTTAAAAAAGATTTTATTGGGGAATTGGGGGGAGGGGAACAGCATTGGGGAATTGGGAAAGGGGAACAGACAAGTTGCTGTCCTTTTGTTCTTCAGTCTAGTTGTGGAGGACGTTGCTTCACTGGCCCATGTTGGTATTATCATTGCGCTCTTCCTGGGTAAGGCAGATCAGTTGTTGGGCCCTGGACGGCCTCTCATGGCGGCTCTTGGCAGCTCATGCCAGCTGCCAGCCACTCACGGTAGCTTTACAGCAGCCCACTGCAGCTCCACTGCAGCCTACGCCGTCGCCGGCGACTCACGGCAGCCCAGCTCCAGGTCAAGCTGTTGTTCACCATCTTATCTGTAGAGGGCAGTGTCACTGGCCCTCATGTGGGATCCGAACCGGGGCCTTGCTGCTCAGAACTGGCGTCCCAAGCCAATTCTTAACCAACGCGCCACTCGGCCGGCCCTGCCTGTATTCTATACCCAGTCAGCCAGCCAGCAAATTCTGCCTGCTGTACCTTCAAAACATCTCCCAATTCTGACCACTTTCACTACCCCTACCTAAACCACCCTACTCCAGGCCATCGTCATCTCGTGCTTGGATTATCATGATAACCTCCTTACTTGTCTCTCTTCTTTTTCACTTGCCTTCCTGTGATCTCTTCTCAGTTTAGCAACCAAAGTGATCCTTTGAAAACATATCTGATCATGTGATGCCTCTACTTAACCCTCTCAAAAGCATCCCATCACTCTCAGAGGAAAGGTTAAAGTCCTTATGATGGCCTATGGGGCTCAACACTATGTGCTCTTTGGCCTGATATCCTGCCTGTCTGCTTTATGCTTATGCAGCTTTAGATGCCTTGGCAGCCTTACTGTTTCTTGATCATATTGAGCATGTTCCTGTCTCAAAGCATTTGTACTTGATTTTTCTTCTGCCAGGAATACTGTTCCCCCAGATTATCTGCAAGGCCAGTTTCCTCAGTTCTCTGCTCAAATCTCGCCTTATCAGAAGGGCCTTCTAACCACCCTGTGTAAATTAGCACCCTTTTCTCCCTACTAGCACTATGTTTTCCACTAAACCAGGATGAGCGAAGCTATGCTGCAGTAGCAAACAACTCCAAAATATCAGGGGCCTAAAACGACAAGGTTTGTTTCTCACTGATGGTATCCCTCTTGTAGCGAGTTACCTGGGAGGTCTCCTCCACATTGTCTATAACTCCAGGATCTGGCTGATAGCATAGCTACCATCTTGAGTATCAGCAGAGGGAAAGACCATTCACTGGCTCTTCAAGTACCTGCCTGGAAGTAATGTCTATCACATTGACTTGGCCAAAGCAACTCGTGTCCATACCTAACTTCAGTTATAGATGGGGATGGGTGGGTGGCAGTCCTATTATGTCTCCTGAAAGAGACCAGGAAATCCATGGTGGATGACATAGCCACACTCTTTACCCTGCTTGATCTTTCTATAGCATTCATTTGCGTCTGACATAATACGTACATATTTACCTTGCTTTGTGTATTTTCTTTTCTCTCCTGTCTAGACTGTAAGCATCACAAGGGGAGGGACTTTGTCCATCAGTTACTGCTGTACCACCCAGCCTAGGATAGGTCAATAGTAGGTGCTTATTAATTTTAGAGATAGACTGAGGATACTAAAGCAAGTCATTCAGTTATTCATTTGGTGACATGTAAGCCAAGTTGGGAGTGTGGAGCAGGGAGGTTTGAGGAGAGAGGAGCAGATGGTATCAAATTAGAAGACTTACTATAGAAAAACAGTAGAATTGCTGGTCAGTGGAGAGTGTCAGGTTAAGATCTGAGACCATAAACCTACAATGAAATCTTGCATGTAGCTCAGCTGTGTGATTTTCTCCAGTAATGAGCTACTCAGGAGCTGGCCTGGAAGGGACAGGCATGAATGATGGGACCCATTTCACAAGGATAGGTGGGAGCCCCAGTTGAAGAAGGAAACATGATTCCAGCTGCCCATTCAAGGCGCACCTCCATCACCCCTGCTCCATCTTTGGTCCTGTCAGGACACTAAAGGAGCTTGCCTTTAACCACAAGAAACCCGTTCTCCTGGAGTGGTGTGACTGCGGTGGTAGAAGCAGTTTTCCCTATATTTATTCTTTATTTCATTTCTCATAGCACTTTTGAGGTAGCTTTCTCATCTTCATTTTACAGGTGAGAACTGGGGTTTAAATTGCTCAAGATAGAATTTAGGTTGGTTAAGCTCACAGCAACAGTGCTCTGCTATGCTTTTCGGGTATGCTTACTGTATCTCTTATACTTAGGTGCTCCCTTATCTGGGGATGGGGAGCTCTGTTAACTTTTAGATTCTCTGGAGCCTTAAAGACAGTATGCAGCCACTTTACTAATGGTTCCAATTTAGATGTTGCAAGACCTTACCAGAGAGGAAACAGTTGGGCTATTTTTATATACTTAAGCAAGAGCAATAACCACATTACCAACTGTAACTAATAAATTCGCTCCCGGGGAGTTTCTTATGAACACACTTGAAGTGCACCTCACATGATCTGAGAATGTCCCCATCAGTGATACTTTTCTGTGGTCTTGCCAGTTGATAGTCTGTTTCATAGGTGCAAGGGGGCTGTGCTAGGCCTTATTGCCAATATAGCGAAGAAAAGGCAAGTGGCCTCCCTTCAGGAATCTTGAATGTAGCCAGGAAGGCAAAACAGGTACAAACCCCTGAATATTCAAGTAGTGCCTAGAAACAAGGGTGCAGAGTGGGGAAAGGCTCCTCAGGCTAAAATGCTTCCCTGACACAATCAATAATATTGTAATAACTATGTATGGTGCCAGGTGGGCACTAGACTTATTGCGGGGGAATCACTTCATAAGTTACATAAATGTCTAACCACTACACTGTACACCTGAAACAAATACAATATTAAATGTCAACTGTAACTGAAAAACAAAAAATAAATAAAATAAAATAAAATATAAAATGCTTCACTGAGACACATGGAGTGAAGTGGAAATTGAGCTATGATTAGAAGGCTGCATAAGATGTAGACAAGGCTCTAAATGGAAAACCGACTTGGGCTCCAGTTGTACTCATGGTGGAAATCCCAGTAGGCCACTGCAGTCAGCGATGCTAGCGCCTTTAGCCACGTTTTAATTGTTTTGAATGTGTTTATGTATATGAATCCTGTGCATGCTCAGGAGCCAACTGCTCAATTTGATAGAAAACATAGTCTTCTAGTTTGTTACACTTTGGTGACCATTTCAAAAGGTACTCGATAGAAGTTATTGGCAGTGAACTTGGTTTGGTCTCATATAAGAACAGTGGAGCCCCTGCCAGTAAATTCCACTTGGTTTCCAGCCCTTTGGTAACTTACCTCTGCAGGTAGATGTTTTGAAATATATGTTAATGAGAACTAAATTCCAGAGTTTCTGAAGTTAGTCTTCATTCTAATTTTTAAAAAAGGGAATTCTCTTGCTTTTCACTCATGTGTTTTCAAAATCTTAGTAACAACCATCCTGAAAGCGTTTTTCTTTCTCTCCCCTTCCCCCCCAGACAAGGCGCCTCTGTCTAAAAGTCTTCTACTGGTCCCCAGTGCCCTGTCCCTGTTGCTGGCCCTTCTCCTGCCGCACTGTCAGAGGTTCTTCGTGTACGACCTCCAGTCAGTCAAGGACGACTTCCAGGTGAGCGCTCCCACATTGGCCTTTGGGAGGAGAGGAGGCAATTTTGTTTCTTGATTGGCCTTTTCTTCCTGCTCTTCTTCGTCCTTTGAAGCTTCTAAATTTGTAAGAATTGCTACTTATCATTAATATTCCATTAATAAGTTTTCTAGTTTTATTTATCGATATTTTCAACAAAGCAGATTACAATGCAGCAGTTACAATACTAGGCACATCTCTTTTCAGTTTCATTTTTTATTCATGGAAATGCAACTTGTAATTTCAAGAGGCTTAAAAACAATGTTAAATCTGTTTTTTAGTGATTTGTATGCGCACAATATTTTCAGGAACCTGCGTCAGTTTGAATATTGATTGGTCTAAGCTTTTTCAGCTCTAACAGACTGAATCTATGAATTACTTTTATACTGGTAGCTAAAGTGGAAATTTCTCTTGGGCTTTTGCTGCGGGGAAGAGCAAAGCTCTGTGGTTTTCAAGATTTATGGGCTGATCTCATTGAAAATGCTGGCACTGGGTCTTGTCTCTGAGCTGGAGTGTTAGTGCAAATTATGGTGTATAACCTGCCACCTTTTCTTTGCTAAATACTTGATTAGCCATTTTAAGCACAGTAATCCACTTGAAAACTGACACCTTTGCTTCATAATGATGTAATTAATACCATGCTCAGATTGACTTCACCAGTTATTTATCCACACTGTTGCTTTCTGTCAGAATGTAGTATAGCTTTCTATATTATTTCAGTTGCTATAATGCAATGGTTCTCAACATGACTGCATCTTCGAATCACCTGGATAAACTTAAAAATATATATACAGGCATTGATGTACTTTTTAAAAAAGATCCCCAGGGGATTCTAGCATCTGGCCAACCCTGAGGACCACTGCTCAAAGGGACGGAAAGGGCCACCTGGCCCTGAGTAGGTACCTTCCTGATTTGGGGTTAATATGGTTACTCTGGCTAAGTAGGCAAGCGTCCCTGTCTACTGCACCACTTTATGGGCATCTGTGCTCTGAAGATGGAGAGGAAAATCACGCTTCAGTCCAGAAATGTGAGTAGCCACACTTTCCTGCTAGAATCGCCTAAGAAGCCCTCACTTTGCTTTTATAAGAGCTGCTACAGAGATTTGAAGTTTCAGTTCTGCCTTGGGAAAACTAAACATACACATACATAGGGACATAATACTGTAGGACACGAGTGTACATTACTTCCTTGGGGGGCGATAAGTGAAGTAGGGACCAGTTTAGGATGGAATAGCCCTGGAGAGCTAGTGATGATTTGGTCAAAGGAAGGGATGACAATTAGCAGTAGAGAGAGAAGGGCATTTTACTTCCCAAAGCAATATGAACTTCCGAACCTTAGGACTGCTGTCTAGGAGGCATGGTTGGAGACTAGAGCAAGGTTAGATTGGATGAGGACAGGAGGGGCAGTTGATGGGCTTTATTTTGCAAGTGTGGAATCTCTCGGACTTGGGCCCTTAGGGTAGAGATCCTGCCTCTAGTGTCCTTGAGGTTCAAATGCAGAAGCACTGCTTTGTTGAGTGCGAGCCAGTGATCAATCGTCACAGGGAAGACTCACCTTGTAGTAATGTCCAATGATTTATTCTTATCCCAGGTCTCAAGATTTTGTGTCCTTGAGCATAGTTACAAGACACAAATTATTTTAAAGTGTAGCTTCTAGGTTTTTTTTGGTTTTTTTTTAAAGATTTTTATTGGGGAATTGGGGGGATGGGAACAGCGCTGGGGAATCGGGGGAAGGGCAACAGACAAGTTGCTGTCCTTTTGTTCTTCAGTCTAGTTGTGGAGGACGTTGCTCAACTGGCCCAAGTTGGCGCCATCATTGCGCTCTTCCTGGGCGAGGCAGATCAGTCGCCGGCTTCTGGACGGCCACTCACTGCGGCTGCTGGCTGCTCACGCTGGCTGCTGGCTACACACGGTAGCCCATGGCAACCCACTGCCGCAGGGGCTGCAGCCTACGCCGTAGCGCCGGCGACGCGGCAGCCCAGCTCCAGGTTGAGCTGCTGTTCAGCATCTTAGCTATAGAGGACAGTGTCACTGGCCCTCATATGTGGGATCCGAACCAGGGCCCTCTGGCGTCCCAAGCCAGTTCTTAACGATTGAGCCACTCGGCCGGCCCTGTAGCTTCTAGTTTTATTTGTCATTAACTGAAACAATGACAACAACATGGGACTCTATAAATCCAATTTGTTATGTTTTACTAATTGTAAAGACTGAATTTTCGTAATCCCCCAGATTTTCCTAGTGGTTCTAAGGGCTCGGCTTTGAGTGAAATAGTTCTTTTAGAGTTTTAAATGTGGAAATAGAAGACTAGGAGTTGATTTTCAGTTTCTGCATCTATTGTTCTACAAAGATGACAGTCACCGTCATCTTATATTCGTGAAGTGCTAGATAGTTTACAAAGCGCTCTCCTGTACACTAACTATCTCATTTGTTCATATTGATTGTAGTGTATGCTGGCCGAAAGTTTCAGTGTGATTCTGGTGTAGAATCATGGAATTTCTGAGGGAGAAAAGAGATTTTGTTTAGAGATGTCACCTGTGTTCCACATGTTTGCCCATGATGGTCATTGGTAACTGATCATGGTGCTCTTTGGCCTTGAACCCAGCTATGACCTTAGCACAGATTTATAGGCAGCTATCCCTGCTTCAGTTAGATTGGCATGTGGAATGAACTCTAGTTGTCATCCCTAAACCAGCCCAGTGCCCTCATATTTTGGAGTACACTGATGATAAAGACTGCCTGGTGTCTTGCTTAGAGCTGAGACAAATGTGAAATGTTTTGACAGTTGGTATAGTATGTTTTCTCATTTGTATCCTTGTTATTCTGTTGGCAAGAACATAGGTTATATGACCTTAAACAAGTAAAATACTTTATCTGTGCCACTTCGCCTTATTTTAAGATAGAGTTAATTTTACTGATGTTCATAGCAGCATTATTCACAATAGCCAAAAGACGGAAACAATCCAAGTGTCCATTAACAGAAGAATGGATTTTAAAAATGTAATATAGACATACAGTGGAATATTATTTAGCCAGTAAAAGTAACGAAATTCTAACTCATGCTTACACATGAACCTTGAAGACATTATGTGAACTGAAATAAACAAGCCAGACACAAAAGGACAAATATTGTATGATTCCACTTATATGAGGTACCTAGAATAGTCAAAAATCTTAGAGACGTAAAGTAAAATGATGGTTGCCGGGGGCTGAGAGGAGGAGAGAATGTGTACAGAGTTTCTGCTTGGAATCATGGACAAGTTCTGGAAATAGTGGTGATGGGGGTACAACATTGTAAATGTTCCTAATGCCAGTGAATTATACATTTAAAAATAGTTAAAATGATAAATTGTATTTTATGTATATTTTACCAATATAAAAACTACAAAAAAATGAGATAGGGTTAGTATTTGTTTTACCTATCTTAAAAGGTAATTTTGAAGAGGAAATAATATCAAAATGTTTTGCAAATGTTATTGGGATTTTCATTAAAAATCTGGAAAATTATAAGAAGACTCAAAATAGGCCTTTGAGTAGCTCTTTCTTCTTTGTATATCCCCTTATATGTTTTAACCCAAACAGATATTGAATTAAATAAGCCAAGTTAAATTATTTAAAAATTTTGAACCCAGTAACATTTAGCAGCAGTTGCCGTAAATTACCTTGTACATGGTTGCTGTGGAGTAGATTGATCATTGAAGTTAAGCTCAGAAATGTATATTATTGAGTTTATCCCTAAATTGCTTTTCAGTTACAACTTTGTTTTATTTAGTACCATAAAAATGAGCACCTGTTAGTGTTTCATTCCAGTTCATGTATATAATTTTTTTTATTGTACTAAACATAGTCCTAAATTTTTTTACAGGAAATTTTCTGTTGTGTTAATGAGAATACATTTTCTTATTATAATAAGCAAAAAACTTTTAAGTACCCTTTGTGCCATTATATGGAAGGAATTTTTAGTATGAGAGAGTTGAACTCATTTCTTAGGGAAAACACATACGTAGTTTACTGTGTGCATCATTAATTTGCTTAAATTAGAATGTAAAAAATAAGCAGTATAAAGTAAACATAATAAATTTGCTAAGGAGGCTACTGAACAAATCTTACTCTTATTTATTGTTCTTTTTTAAATCCCCATATAGATTTGGAGGCTGATATGTGGAAGAATAATTTGCCTTGATTTAAAAGATACTTTCTGCAGTAGTCTGCTTATTTATAATTTTAGGATATTTGAAAGAAGATATGGAAGCAGAAAATTTGCAGTAAGTTTTTATGTAGTTTCCCTTTACTATGAGGTTATAGCAAAACATTTTTTTTGTTTTCTTCCTTATATTTAAATAGTTTTATTTTATTATTAATAATTGTCTTTTAATTACATGATCCTCTATTTGAATTGGAACATGGACATTAACCAAAGAAAAATTTTAAATTTAAAGCATAATAAAATAACGATGATAATAATAGGTATTAATATCAGGTGTGAGTGGGTAATAAAAATTTTAATTTGGATTTTAATTTAATAAAATTCTAATCGCTTATTTTGCTTAATGGTTTGTGTGTTACTTGTTAAAAATAAATCATGCTATAAATATCTTTTCTTCAATATAATTAGAAATAATGGAAGTTAATGCATTTGGACAATATAATTTTACTCCATGTTGAAATGTTTATTCTAATAAAAACAAACATTTAAAAATATATGTATACCTGAGCTGGTTCTAATTAAATAAATATTAGTTTATTTTTAGAAGACTCCCAAAATAATGTTATTTCTGTTTTGTTGTTAGTCCTTTTTGCTGGGTTCCTGGGTTTTGTCAGCCTTGGTTGACTTCATCCTGGTTGAAGCTGTCTGGTATTCCTTTGGTATCACCGCGTCCAGGAATTTGCCTTCTGGATTGTAAGTAGCTCTCAAAGATGAGCTTAATTTATCACTACTTAAATCTGATTTGAAGTGTTTGTTGTACATGAAAGTCAGTAAAAGAATATTTTTAACTTTTAGATAGTAAAATTGATTTTATGTATTAAAAAATCCAATGTATATGTACATTTTCATTATGTTCTTGAAACAATTTATTTTACATTCAGTTTTTTTTAGTTTTGAAAACCCAAATTTTAGAGAATTTTTAACGAATTTCTTGTTCTGGTTCTGAAGGTCGAATTTTGTGTGCTTTTATAGTGAAATTTTGTCTTTGTAATTTTGTGAACTAGTTAAACACACAAATACAAAATTTAATTAGATTAGGAAACAAAATTAATTTGTCTGAAGTTAAGCTTCTGAAGAATGTTTTTAAAAATTGATGTAGTTTATGTACTTCCACCAAAGATAAAAGAAAGTCAATGTATAGGTTACAACTTTGTAGCCAACCTGCAATGCCAACCTAACTCATATTGTGTTGATAATTCTTTAAAAACAACACAAGCGAAATGTATTTGTTTATGAAATATCTAGTATCTAGGAGCAGGGTTGTTAGCACACATAAGTGACCTTAAATCATCTCTGATTTAAGTATCTGAGACTGTATTTGGGGGATACTTTGAAATAAAGATACCAGATATTTAAAATTATGTGTGTACTAACTTCAGTCTTATTTTAATTTTGAGTTTGTGTTTTTGAGACCTACTAGACGATTGTATAAATCTTTATTCAAATTCACTTTGGATCTCTATTTTAAAAATATCGTTAGTGATCTAATAGCTTTCACACTTACATTGTGAATATTTACAGTGTAGCTGCTCTTTATGGAATTTACTGAATTATAGCTGGCACAAGTGTTGACCTTTAGCTGTTTTAATAATGTAAGATTCTGAATAATATTTAAATGGAAACATTAAATTCTGTGTCATAACTATCATGCAGTTTTTGTTGAGTTCCACGGGTTGTAATTGAAATGAGACTGAGAAGTTTAAGTTGACTATTCTGCTATTGTGGTAAATAGTGTAGTCATCAGGAATGATTCATGTTAATTCTGAAAAGCAGCAGCATTACTAAATCATTAATTTTTACCAAATATTTCTCACCTAGGCCAATTCTTTTTGGTCTATCGGGTCTACTGAGTTATGAAAGGGTATATAGGTGTCATATGTACTTGTCTTAGAATAAATTTGGGGGATGGGTAGCAAGATAGCTACCCATAGTTATGTTGTCCCTTTGTCTGATGACTTTTTTTTTTTTAAGATTTTTATTGGGGAATTGGGGGGATGGGAACAGTGCTGGGGAATTGGGGAAAGGGGAACAGACAAGTTGCTGTCGTTTTGTTCTTCAGTCTAGTTGTGGAGGATGTTGCTTCACTGGCCCAAGTTGGCACCATCATTGCGCTCTTCCCGGGCAAGGCAGATCAGTCACCGGCTTCTGGACAGCCGCTCACAGCGGCTGCTGGCCGCTCACGCTGGCTGCTGGCTACACATAGTAGCCCATGGCAACCCACTGCAGCAGGGACTGCAGCTTACACCCTCGCCAGCGACTGACAGCAACCCAGCTCCAGGTTGAGCTGTTGTTCAGCATCTTAGCTGTAGAGGGCAATGTCACTGGCCCTCATATTGGGATCCGAACGAGGGCCTCTGGCGTCCCAAGCCAGCTCTTAACCAATGCGCCACTCTGCCGGCCCAGACAGTTACTTCTTTATGTGAATGATATTTATTTCTGTGTGGAATCCTTAACTGATACCGTAGAAGCAAGATTGGTTCAGTTTTGATGTTAGTAGGAATATTTTTACTTATTCTTAAGGCAGGAAAGCATTTACCTATTTAAATCTTAGTTCATAGCAAGAGTTGCAAATTTGAGTAAACTCAAAAGTTATAGGGTCTCCTTTGAAAGATAATATATAAACGTTAATCCAGCTATCACCTGAATGAGAATATATTTCTCTTTCCTTTGCAATTCCTGAAATTTACAGCATGGCTTTTTAGCATCTTGTAGCTTTCTCAAAAATAGACTCCTTGGAACGTAAGGCTTTACTTCAATAAAGAAACTTTGCATTTTGTAAATATATCTTTTATGTGACAGTAGTAGCAAAGCTTCAAAAACTCGGGAGGAAACCACTCTCCTTTTTTGGGTCAACATGCTTTTCAACTTGCAGTGTTTTTTACATAACATCTTGTTACCTTTTTCTTACCCATCAGTGCTAAATTTATCTGTTCTCTGTACAATTCTTCACTTCCTATTTAATTCTCTCTCCCTTTTTTTTTTTAAACCTCACCACTTTTAAAAGTTTTCTTATAAGGGTTACCAGTATCCAACTGATTTCCAAAGCCAGTGGCTTATATTCAGTTGTCGTATTTCACCTTTCAATAGCACATTAAATGCTTTTGACCTTCCATGAAATAACTTGCTCCCTTGAGTCCCAGCACACTACTTTCTCCTGGTCCTTTTTGATGTTATTTACTGTCTGCAGTTCCTTTCTCACGCTTATTTCAAGCCCTTTTCCTGGGCTATCTTGTCCACTCCCATGACTTCAACTACAGTTAACATCTGTTCATTTCCCAACTCTCTATTTCCAATGCATGTGACTTTCCTGATCTTTGTAGAGTCATATTTCCTAATGATTTCTAAGACTCAAAGAATATTCATAATGTGCAGAAACGCTCATCTTTTCTGATCTTCTCTCTTTCTGTACTCTCATCCCCTCGTCCTTCTATGCTCCTTATTTTAGTTAATGGCATTTCCATCTACTCAGTTATCCATGCTGGAAATCTTTCCCTTTTCTTATCATTAGAGTAGGGCGCCGAGTCTTAATAATTCGAAGTCCTATATAAATCATTTGTGCACCCCATCGTCTCTATTTCTGTCATTGTCTCAGTTTAAATTCTAATCTTTTCTTGCCCAGGTTTTTGCAGTAATTCTCTAGTCTTCGTATCAATTTCAAAGCATTCCATGCAAAGTTATCAGAAGTTATCTTTCTAAAATATAAGTTTGACTATACCGTTCTTCCTTTTAAAAACTTTTGAATCCACATCTTTCAGAATAAAAATCAAACTCTTCCAAGATGACATCAAGGCAGTCTAGAATAGTGAGAATGATACAGGCTTTGTCATCAGAGAGACCAGAGTTGAGATTATAGCTCTGCTGCGTATTACTAGGGTATAATCTTGAGCAAGTTACTTCTCTCAATTTCCATTTCCTGAGTTCAGTTTATAGATGGCCCTCATATGTAAATTGAGGATCCTACTCTATACTTCACAGAGCAGTGGAGAGAATTAAACTCATGCAAACATCCTAGCAATAGTACCCTCCACCACCATATATACTGATATACTCCTTTCCCTTCAAAGCCCTCATAATCTGACCCCATCCAGTGTTTCAAGCCATTCCCCCATCAGTCATTCAGCTTTCTTAACATTCTCTGTATGTGTATTATTATGCTTATGTGGTTTTCTTTGGTAGTATTAATTGTGCTTTTACATGTATTCCAACAAATTTACTAAGATTCCTATTAGCATTTATTACATTGCATTGTCATTATCATTATCTGGGCCAACCTACTAGCTCTTTGAGAATTAATTTTACTTCATGTGCTCGCTGCCTTATATTCAGTCATGTTGAAGGGTAGCCCCCGTAAGTCTGTAAGCTAAGGTCTTTGAACCATAGACCTGTTGGTCTCTTTTTCTAGTGCTTTGCATAGAAATTATACCGGGCATCTGATAGATTCTCATCACTGTTATTTGAAATTCAGAAAATGTAACCACTAGGTTTTGAAATTAAAGAAAGCTCCATCATTAAAAGCTACATGTATAAAGTGCTTCTAGTAACCCATGCCGATCATGCATTTGTCCTTATATAGCTATTATTTTTTGTTAGTATTTACTTGTGAATGTTACATTGTTTCCCAGACTCAAACCCCTCCAGAAAAATAGAATTTTGAGTCTTTACATATCATGTTTAAATGTACCTGATTACAATGCTGAATAAAATTATTTTTAATTTACTATTTTAGATTATCTATAGTTTTATTACAAGAACCATGACAGTGGGTGGTCCCATGGTGTAATGGTTAACATTCTGGACTTTGAAGAACCATGACATACAAGTACATTTGTCCTTGGTTGACCTTGTGTTAACAAAGCCTTTTGTTGTGTTTTGTGTTCTGAAATTGAATTCTTCTCATCAAGAAAAGCCATTGCATAGGACTTGCCATTTAATAAATTACATAAGAACAGATTAATCCATGTGGTATAAGAATAGGCTATGACTGTATGTATATACCATAACCCTACATATCATATACAGGAGTTATTTCCTTTATTTTAGAAATAATTACTCATTTAAAGGTATTTATGAAAGTATCTTACTTACTTGATTATTCAAGACTAAAAACTTCAAGTAGTTTTCTCTTTGTTGAGAAACTACATCTCAGACCACCTTGACTCCTTTATCTTATGTAGCTAGGAGAATGTTTATATTCTGTAAGCTTGTTTCCTTCCAATTATTAAAAAATTGGTGATGGACATGAAAAGAGATCTGAATTTGGTTTCTAATCCTGGTTTTTTAACGGAGCAAGCCACATAACCTCTTTGGACCTTACATTCTTTATATTTCAACCAGAAGATCATCTAAGGGATCTCCTAGTACTAAAATGCTGTTTTATTATTAGGCTTCTTTGTGTTTTTTTAAGAATATGAATTTATCCATGTTAATCCATGTTAAGAAATCCATTTATAACCAATGCATTGATTTGATTCTAAGTCCCATTAGGAGACGAGCATGTTAAGAGTAATAAGAGTGATTTAGCAGAGAGGAAGTTATGGTTGACTCATTTGTGTACTTCCATAATATTTAGAATATGGGCTTTACACATTATAGTTCACTTTTTTCTTTTTAGGAAGTTACTTGGTTTGTTAGTTTATTAGGGGAAATTAAATGGGAAGGATCCTAAATAGTGCTATTTATACTGACATGACCTGGAAAAAAAAATCAGTCTCTTTTGTAATGTGATGTTTAGTCACATAAGAAGTGCAAACTCTTTATATTGGAGAAAGATATTTCACCATACAGTAGAAACCGCATGTCGTAGGAATGAACTTGAATTATTGGGCAGAAATAGAATCTCAGGTTAGGTTTTTCCCATTGGTCTGGAGTAGATAGAGTCTGGTGCATCGTAGGCTCTTTGTAGATGTGTATTGAATGACTATAGCCTGTTTCCAAAAAGCTGATGGCCGTGGCCTCTCCAGGCCCCCTGAGGTGCTTCTTCCCACTAATTATGCTCCAGCAAGGAACAGTGATGAGTTAAACATCGAAACATCATTGTTTGTGTAGGAATCCTGAAAGTTTGGTTTAAAACACAAAATGTTGCATTTGGACCACCAATCGTGAGTGTAAACTAAACCAAAAGGAGCTGCATCTAGATGGAAAATACTTGAATCAAATTATTTCAAACACTAGGTGAACTTTTTTGTGCCTACTGACTTGATTGACATGATTCAGTTGCACATAGAATTAAATCAAAAAAAGCTAAGTCAACTATGTATTTAGAGAAGGCTTGAATAGGAAACACAAATCTCCAAATACCTCATGAAAATGTTCTCTACAAGTTTTAAACATAAAAATAATGAATTTATTAGACTACTTCAAAATATTTAATTATGTTGCTGCAATAAGGTCCTACAGAAGAGTTTTTAAAGGTTTTTTTTTGTGTTTTTTTTTAGGAGAGAAGGGACTTGATAATATCATGTAGAATATCCAGTGACCCTGGGGTAAAGTGTATTTAAAGAGATTAAAGACAAAAAACTTCTTATCATTCATAACATTTCACTGTTTATGTTGCTTAGTGACCGCAAACTACCTGACCGGAAACTTTTTCTGCGCACGCTCCGGAGGTAATTGCGGTATAGCATGACGCTAATGACTCGAGCCTGAAATTGTTTTGAAACAATGTAGTAGAGAATCACATCCAGGCAGGTGCTGAGGTTCATGAGGAAGGTGGTAAAGGCTCCCCAGGGATTGTAACTGTTGTCATCCCCGTCCAACATCAGGAAAGCAAAGCAGATGTGGAACGGCATAAAGCAGACGAGCACCTGCACCAGTAGCGTGATGATGATCCGTATAGACTTCTCCTTGACTTTTGGTTTCAGCCTAGATGTCCTACCGTGAAGGAGACTGTGAATAATGACCAAGTAGCACCCAATCATGATGAACAGAGGAGTCAAGAAAAAAAATATCAGTCGAGTGAAGTTCAGCACGTTAATAGCTTTTAAGTGGATGATGTCAGAAATCTTCAGGCAGGTAGCAGGGCTGGAGGCTTTGTCTGGATCTTCATAGAGCAGGAGGAGTGGGACGGTGGTGGTCAAGGTCATGATCCAGACTCCCACACATGCTAGCACAGCTTTGCATGTTTTTTTAAGTTCTTTGGCGTATTTTGGCTGCACAATGGCCATGTATCTGTCAGCACTAATAAAAGCAAGAAGCCATAGGGCAATACTTGGATAAAACACCGTGAGAGCACTGAGAATGTGGCAGAAGTACTCTCCAAATGGCCACTCGCCTTTTGCGTAATAAAACATTCGGAAGGGTAAGCTCATTATAAATATTAAGTCCAATAATGCCACGTTCATCATATAGATGGTTACAGTGGTTCTCTTCTTGGTGGTACAACTGAAAACCCATAAGGCAGTGACGTTAACAAATAGTCCAATTATGAAGATACAGCTGTAGAAAACAAGGGCTGCAATTTTATATTCATCTGGATATGAGCTGTTGGAAAAGCCAGGCTGAGCTTGATTGTGAGTGGTAGTCATCTTAGAGCTTTCTGGCAGGCATGACACTTAGAAACTGTAAAAGAGTTAAGAAGAACAGGAGGAATAAAACCCATTGCTGAAAAACAAATGCTTAACTTTCTCGTACTCAACTTGGCATGTTAGTGGATTTTACTTTTGAGAGTATTTTATATTATAGTGTCAATATATGTGTCTTAGTATTTATGAATAAATACATTTCCTAGGTATTATTACTAATATGTACTAACCTGTAAAGTGGTATGGTGTGTCATAATGCACTGGCAAATTTATTCATTTTTCTCTCCCTGCTCACCTCTCTTCTCCCCCAAAGACAACCTTTTCTTTATGACTTTTTCCCTATAGTGTGAAATTGGGTAGTAGTCGTTCCTGTAGTAAGCATTCTTTAATTGGGACTGATTGGGGAAAGGCCATTCTGAATTTAGAATCTTACAGTATCGCTTGCCACCTTCTGTCATCTTCATTCTGTTTAAATATTGGGTTGTCGGAAAAGTCATGACGCATTTTTGCAACAAAAAACAGAAAAATACGTCATGACTTTTCCGACAACCCAATATTTCATAACCTAGGTTAGTAATATCCAAGTGATGAACTTTTACTCACTAAATACAATTTTAATATATAATGTAAGGTACATTAAATTAATATGTAATTTAATAATACAATTTAAAATGTATTAGAAAACTCAGAAAGGAACCTTATAACTCGTGAATTACTGAATAGTCACAGTAATTCTCATTTGAGATCAGGAACGTTCCCTTTTCATTGCTTATTGAGTAAATTATAGGTATTCAAAAGCAAATATTTGCTGAATTGATAGATGAGTGAAGGAGGGAGCCTTTGGCAACGAGACCCTCAGCAACTACTCTAATCTGTCAAAGATGACTTGCTTAGTTGGCCATTAAACCTTTATTTTAAATGGTGAACACTTCTTCATAGTATTGTGTCCTGTCTAAATTCATAGGCCTAGACACACCAGTATGTTGTGCCATGGTGTACAGATCAAGAATTTGATTCTTAGAATAACAGATGAGCTAGTTTCTAATGCACAGTTGGGAGGCCTAATGCTAAGTCTTCCAGATTGTTTACCAGTGTCCCAGAAGCGGATTCACTGCTGCAATGATGCACAGAAAGCACTACCTTGAGAATAAGTTATTATTAGCATAGTAAATTTCATGCCCTCACACTCCCTAGATACTGAAACTTAAGTATTATTTATCAAATTAAATTGTAAAAAGGAATATCAAAGATAGGTAGTTATTAATAAGTCAGTAACTTTATGTGTGTGCAGAAACTACTTCCCATCACCAAAAACATGTCCGTTTCTAATGGAAAGGAGTTTAGTGATTGTACATATCATTGACCTTCCTCAGTGTGAAACTTCCATCACCCATGATGCAGTACCAACAGCAGTGATTTTAAAAATAGAGTCGCTACAAAGAAATGGAACCTTGTGGCAGCCCCTTGAAATATGGAGGTGTAAGAAAAGTTTCCTTCAAAAATATCACTTTGCAGAGTGGGCTGTCTCTAATTCAGCCCTGACTCTCTCTCTGGTGAAAGCTGCGGGGGAGATTAGCAGTCTGGTCAGTGGCCTTGTGGGCTGTTGATAATTTAAAGTTCATTTGCGCAATTGCTGTAGACAAATACAAAATATGAGTTTGTTTTCTCCTCCCTCCTTTTCGCCCTCCCATCTTTTTTCCTTCCTTCCTGGCTACAGCTGATTTGCCAAACATTTAGGTTAAATATGACTTTGGAATCGATTTCTATATATTTAAAAGCCTGTATTAATTAAAATTTCTAAGTATTGGTGTGATGAGAATATTAATTTCTATCAAATGAGAAAGGTACTACATAGAAAAACCAAATCTCCAGTATCATACAAAGGAGAATAATTTTGGAGGTTTGTCTCTTATTTTTAACTTTCTATGAATTTTTAAATAGTAGCAATTGTAACATAATTGAAATTTTGTATCAATTTTTCTCTTTTAATATCGCAGTGGGGCTCCCTTTACCCACCCACATCCCAAATTCTGTCACATAAATTCCATACTTATAAATCATTTTTTAGTAAATCTTTTTCACCTCAGTGGGCTCAAGCTGTTTTTATGTCACCAGCACTTGTATTCATTTTTTTTTAAGATTGAAAAAATATGCATGATTCATGTGTTTTAAAGACATTGCCAGTATAGGTTGTGCTCTATACACATGGCTAAATTTTTTGATAGATATTGAAAAGTGATGGGCTTTCAAGTCAGCATTTTAAAAGCTTTCAATTCCATGATTCTTTCTTTTCTTAAAAGCCTTTAAGTACATTTTGTGAAACAATGATTGAAAACAAGTGACAACTCTTAAATATACTTATTATTTATCATATCAACATTTTCCTTAAGTTGAAAAAAATTACATTTACTATTAATGTAAAACAATACTTGAAACTAAATGAAAAATTATACTAATAATGAAGTAAGATAACAACATAACCCACTTCAAGGTCCTTCACCAACATGGTTTCAGTAGTGTATTATTAAAATAAAACAATGATTTTGAAATTTAGTAAGTACAGCATTACTGCTGATAATCTGTGATGAAGTTAATTAAAGGTGACTTACCTCCTGTCCATGAAAAGGCTGTATTAGGGAGCAATGTTTTTCGGTATACCCAGCTCTGTAAAAGAGATATCTTTGAGTCTCTTGTGTTAAAATAGCTCTTGCTAGAAATGGTATGTTTAAGAAATGCTATATATTTCTTTTGTTTCAGGCTCTTCTGTGGCTTTAAGTTGTTTCAAATAAGGTATTTGGCATAGGAGTTGGTACTTGTTCAGCTGTAATTGCTGCTTGGTCTCTTTCAGGAAGTACTCTCTGAAATAAGGCCTTTTCAACGTATGACTTTATCCGGATGTGGTTTTTCTCTTTCACAAATGATTTGTTTATAAAGTCATGCTCAGTATAAGCTCCCCTTGAAATGATGGCATATGTTTAAGAGAATCATACAAAAAGGGGAAAATGTCTTCAATTTGTTTATTTCAAGTTTGGATCATCTATTGAAAGAATATCATATTTGATGTTAACTATAGAATGGGATTCATAGTATAGCTTCACTTTCTGAGCTGTGTGACTTTTCTAGTTACCTACCCTACAGTTAAAATCGAGATAAAGCCTATTTGATAGGATTGCAAGGACTCTTAAACCAGAACAATCCCAAATGCTTAGCATAGCACCTGGCACTTACGTACTCATAAACAGAGTTAATCCTTTATTATAAAGTTACTGAAATCATAGAATATCCACTTTTTACTGTTAAACCATTTCTAAATGGTTAAAATTGAAATCCTCAGTTATTTGCTGCAGCTTTGCATATACATTTACCTACTTTGGTTCACTTTATTTTTTAACTCTCCAGTTCTTCATACCCTTTTCTGTCACATGGAAGTCTAGAAATAATTCCTGGTGTATAAACATCCCTGAAAATTGCCAAGAAAGGACTCTGGAAGTTTTTAGTGAAATAACTTACATATTAGCAATATTTTAACTTAAGAAGGGAAATGAAACAAACGGAAAGGGAAGTGAGCAACTCTAATTATTGCCTGCCTAGTTATATTAAATTTTTTACATTCTCTTTTCTTAAAAAAATAATCATCATCTCATTTGTTTGTCCTAAAACTTTAATGATCTTTCTATTTGGTTATGCATGATTTGTCATCTTTTAAAAGGTACATGATCTTAACTACTTGTTCTTTGAATTTTTTTCTCAGACAAAAACCACAGTAAGTTTGGGACTTATAAAAGTTATTTAAATCCTTGCCTTTGATGATTAAGTGCTTTTGATCGTGGTCACCTGCCAGAATAATGGGTTTGAAAGCTTTGGCAACAACCAAAGACACTATTTCTCGAGTAGATGAGGACTCGAGGCCCAGTGACTTGCTGCAGAACTCAGACAACAGGCCCAGCTGCCTCAGGGCTGAGCTCCTTGTCCTCCCATTGCTGCTCTCACTGCGGTAATAACTTCTCTTTATGAGGCGATTGCATTGATTTACGTACTAGACGGGATGTATTCACTGCTGAATTACATTCATCGGTTTTTTTACTAGATGGAGTTAGGTTTCATATGCAGTATAGGAGTTTGATATTTCAGCTGGAAGTAGAAACCTCTTATCTGTGGACCCAATCTTTTCAGTACCCTAATTTCACATAGACTGTGACAAGGTTTCTAAATTTAAGCATTGATTAGAATCCCCTGTGCTGCTAGAAGCTGCAGATGCAGTGAAGGCATATATGTCATTAAGACGCGAGTCCTTTCTAGTACACAGGGACATTCTTTTTTCTGACTTGCCAGTCTCTCAGAGACAGGCAACAAGGGGCAAGTTAGGAAATCCCCACCGGTGCAGCTTGAGGGTGGATCAGCTCTCGCCTTCCCAGCTTGCTCTCCGTTTTAGCTGTAGGGGACTTTCTGCATTTGCTCTGGTTCGCCTTTCACATACCATTCCAACCTGTAATACTCCTTAGTACCGTACCCCCATCTCTTGGCTTGGCCAGCTGCTACTTATCCTTAAAGTTTTAGTTTAAATACTGCCTTTTCCAGGAAGCTTTCTCTGACCTCTGAGGCTGGGTTGGTTATTCACCCTTGTAAGTTTCCTTAGTACTTTGTTCTTACCCTTCTAGTGGCATGTATTATTATTGCATATTTAATCGCCTTTTATCTTTTAGTAAATTGAGGTCCTTGGGGGGTTGGTATGTGTTGTATATGTACGATGGGCTTTTAATAAATATTGCTTGAGTATGTGACTGAAAAAGGAGGTGAAGAAATGGAGGGTTGAGGGTAGTCATGGACGAATTACTGAGTGGGATATATAGGTTTACACAGTAGATCCCCATTATAAAACATGCTCCCTATATTAGAGACTTGCCTATGCCACAGATAAAATTATATTTCCCATTCTTAACCTGTTTCTCTTTACCACAGCAAGTGTAAAGGGGGCTTATTCCACGTCCTCACAGGAGTGTTGTGACGAGGGCACCACTGTATTGTTTCTTTCTCAGCCTGGGTGGCCTGAGGGGATGGTAGACAGCCAGTCCCCAGAAAAAAGAGGGGGTGAGGGAAATGAGGAGTGCCCCCAACTAGGGTGAGACTCTTAATCGTTGGGCCCTTAAGGTCTGTCTCCAACTTTGATGTTATAGAATCTTGTCCCCTACCTCTCTCTTTCTCAAACCTGTATTTAAACTGACTGCTCTTTTTTTTTTAAGGGCGAGATTTGTCGAATAGTGGTTTCTAGATAAAGAAGATTGAGATACGCTTTGTCTAAATATGTTTTTTAAAACAATCCGAGCAATTTATAGCTGTAACCTTACAGCCAAGTAAATATGAACCTCCCCTCCCCTTGACTTCCTAAATTGTATTATAAATTTAGCAATTCCCAAATTCCTTTTCCTTGGCAATTTTAGTGTAGTTTTAAATTTTTACAGACATGTGGACAATTAGACAGTTACTTACCTTACAGCAAACAACTTGAATCCAGATAACCAAAGTGATAGATAATTTTAGTTAAAATCGATCTAAATCAGCAATGAAAGTAGAGTTCCCTAAAGATAGTAAAGATTCTCACACTTAGAGGACCCTGGAGAAGGCTGCTACACGGCAGTGAAATCAGTGCTGGACACACTGAAATCCTACAGGCCCCAGGCCAAGGGTCTGAAGTGTGACATTTCACTGACTAGAGACCCCGAGTCTCCGGGGCAACTGACTGAGTAGAATTCTCTGGTTATTATGATGTACGTGGCCACCTACTGCAGAATGGTCTCACAGTTAAAGGAGTTCGTATATACCAGGGTTACGAAAAGATGCATACAAGTGGACACTTGGGTCAGCGTTGCTCAAGCAGTAGTTCACCGTAATCAGAAGTGTCTGCCCCTGTGGCAGTAGGTTGCCATGGGCTACCATATGTAGCCAGCAGCCAGTGTGAGCAGCTAGCAGCTGCAGTGAGCGGCCGTCCAGAAGCCGGCGACTGATCTGCCTCACCCGGGAAGAACGCAATGATGGTGCCAACTTGGGCCAGTGAAGCAACGTCCTCCACAACTAGACTGAAGAACAAAAAGGACAGCAACTTGTCTGTTCCCCTTCCCCCAATTCCCCAGCGCTGTTCCCATCCCCCCACCCCCCAATTCCCCAATAAAAATCTTTTTAAAAAAAAGAAGTGTCTCGACGCTGATGGTAACCACTTTGAGCACCTCTTGTAATTGCAGAAGTCAAATGTGACTTGTATTCATCTTTTGTTATCGGTATATATTGAGTACTACAATCTTAATACAGTTTTCCTGTCTTAAAATTTTTTTTTTTTGGTACCCTCATTTTTTGGGCACCTTCTGTATTTGGGTATGAGTATATAGGGAAAAATACTTAGTAGTATGAGGAAGTAACAGTTTAGAAGAAAGAAGTGTTGTGGAGAGTCAGGATTGGTAAAAAACAAAAGAGGTGTTACTGAGTTACTTAAATATGAACTTGTATACTAGCATGTGTGTGATTGAGGATTTTAGCATACAGACATCTGTTTGTGAAAAAGTAACTACCTGTCTATACAGTTGAAGGTTGTTGGTTTAAAAAGAGTTACTTAGGATTTTTTATTATTCTACGATTAACTGTATTATCACAGGTAATCAGAGGTGAATAATCATGAGGCAGGGGTCTAAGTGCTTTACATGTATCACCAAATTTAATCTTCTCGCCAACAGCAAAGTATATTGAGGACACAACAGTAGTATGTATGTATGGTGTGACCCAGGGATATTTACTCATGATTCTGAGATTGTGCAGTGATGCTCTTTCTGGATTATAGCATTATGCTCTAGTTCAGTAATTTTTGTTGAAGTTGGTCCTACTGAGTAGAGAATCATCAGAATAGTAATTTGATCTGTAGCAAAAAGTCTCCTGAGGGAATAGACCATCCTTTCCTTTCCTTGTTTCTCACGATGAGTTGACATTTCCAAGGAAAGTTTTCTATCTGCATCCTGTCATCCTGTAAACTGAATTTTGGTGCTTAGGAAGACCTCTGCCATTCAATGGACCAAAGATTTTTTTTTTGGTTTTGTTTTTTTTTTAGCTGAGCCATCCTGCCACCTGTTGGCAGCTCAGGCCGGGAATCGAACTGCTGTTGCTCAGAGCTTGCACTCTTGAGTGAGTGAGCCACTTGGCCGGCCCCAAAGATTTTTAAGCACTCAAAAATGAGTATATCCCAGTCGTTGGTAAACATGTAAGTATGCTCAGCCTCATAAGTAATCAGGGAAACAAAAATTAAAACCATATTATTACCCACTCATCAAAATGCCTACAATGAAAAAGACTGACAACATGAAGTGTCGGTGAGGATATACACCAACTAGGAAGTCTTGTGCATTGCTGGTGAAGTGTTTGAATTTGGGAAACAGTTGGATATTAAGTACTAAAATGAAGATCCATATACTATATGATGCAGATTCTACTCCTAGGTTCCTGTGCACCAGGAGACATACGTAAGAATGTTTATAGTAGCATTAATTTTCATAACTCCAAATTAGGAACAATCCAGTTGTTCAACAACCATAGAATGGATAAATCAGTTTTGGTGTAGACAAACAATGAAATGCTTTTCCCAATCAAAATGAATCGTATAGAAGGCACATGCAACATGGGTGAATCTTGTGTATATAGTGTTAAGTGAAAAAGCCAGATATGAAAGAACTCATATTACATGATTTCATTTATATGAATTTCAAAAGCGGACCAAACAAAATATTTAGACATTTATGCTTAGATGATAAAACCTTTTGGTGGTTTGCGGGAGCATGTAATTAAGGAGGGGACGCAT